GCCGAGAGGGAGCGGAGCGAGGCCCGGGAGCGGGTGCAGCTCCTCCACTCACAGGTGAGGACACCCTGGGGAAGACTCCTCCTTGCATCACCTAGAACATCCCCTTGGGGACAGACAGGGCCACGGGGGCCTTCATAAACCCCACAACCCAGTGCCGCCTCCTCTCTGCTGAGCCCCCGAGATACCTGCTGGGCCTCATCCTCCTCCGAGCGCTGCCCGACCAGGGCCAGCGTCCCCCCCACCAGTGACGACCCGCTCACCAAACCCCCCCTGCCCCCACGACGTGACTCCTGCGTTACCTCGGCGGAACTCTCTTCCAGAACACCAGCCTCATCAACCAGAAGAAGAAGATGGAGGCCGATGTCGCCCAGCTGCAGGCAGAGGTGGAAGAGGCCATCCAGGAGTGCAGGAACGCCGAGGAGAAGGCCAAGAAGGCCATCACTGACGTGAGCGCCCATGGAGAGCCGGAGGATGCGGGCTAAGGGACCGAGAATGCCCTCAGCCATGCTCCTGCCAAGAGGACCGCAGCATCCCCTCGCCGTGGCCTTCCCCATCTCTCTGTGTTCTCCTCGCTGTCGCCTCACTCCCTCTCCTCTTTCTCCGTGGGTAGGCAGCCATGATGGCGGAGGAGCTGAAGAAGGAGCAGGACACCAGCGCGCACCTGGAGCGCATGAAGAAGAACATGGAGCAGACCATCAAGGACCTGCAGCTGCGGCTTGACGAGGCCGAGCAGTTGGCCCTCAAGGGGGGCAAGAAGCAGCTGCAGAAGCTGGAGGCCCGCGTCAGGGAGCTGGAGAACGAGCTGGAGGCTGAGCAGAAGCGCAACGCCGAGAGCATCAAGGGCCTCCGCAAGTCTGAACAGTGCGTCAAGGAGCTCAGCTACCAGGTGGGGCCATGGCAGCAAAAAAGGCGCGGCCACACAGCAGAGTTTGTGGCTGCGGGGATGGGGATGAGCTAGAATATGACCCACTGCTCCTCTACCCATGGAGCTAGAATGTGGTTGACCTGGTGGCCAAAGGGAAATGACCGAAAAGTTTGACCTGGTGGCTGTAGGGGTATGTGACCCATAAATTTGACCTGGTGAAGGTAGGGGTTGACCCAAAGGCTGACCTGGTGGCCACAGGATGACCCAGGTTGACCTGTTGTCTGTAAGGACACCCTCCAAAAGGTTGACCTGGTGGCCATAAGGACACGATCCAAAAGGTTGACATGGAGGCAGCAGAGACACAGCTGACCTACAAGGTTGACCTGGTGGCTATAGCGGGTCCTGAGGGGACTGGCAGACAGAATCACAGAATCATTAAGGTTGGAAAAGACCTTTAAGAGCATCAAGTCCAACCATCAACCCAACATCAACATGGCCA